GCAAAGTGAGAATGATTTGTGTCGAGATTTAAAAGACAGGCTTTCCAAGGTGATTTTAAATGATGAAAATCATTCGAACATTTTAAAGCACATTAAAAAGGTATCAGGGATTTAAAGCTTGCATATAAAATCGAAACGCCAACCTATACGTATGACCAATCACCCATACAAATGCATCGCTTTAGTATTTCCGTTCACATTTAGGTTGTGAAAAACATTGCAAGCTTAAAATCTCTGTTTTCATAAAATGACATTTTACGAGCATAAAATAGGCGTTTTGATATAGAATATTGACACAATTGTTTCATATTTTTGGCGGGATTTTTGGCGTAGTGTTGAATTTACACCTTCCTACGCCCCTGTATCTTCCCGAGGGACCGAAGGGACCGAGGGAAGATGTATTGTATATCCCAAGGGATATTCCATGTATCCAAACCGACCGTGCATAACTGGTGTATCTCATACTTGAGTGGGTTTAGGGTAGATATAACCTTTTCCACCTTTTTCAGATGACAAGATATTTATATTGAACATTTTCGTAATATTCTTTTTGTTCAATACAATGAAATTGTAACATTTAAACTTAAAATATTTTAATTTTAAAATTAAAAAATTAAAACTTTTGATATTTAAACTTTTTTAAATTTTTGAAAAATTCCCGGGAGCGGGATGGATATATTATATCTGCCCGCATTTGGCCTGGAGCGGGACATATACAATATATCCTGCCCGCTCCTCAGATACGATATATATTCCCGGGTGATATCTACCCCAAACCCACTCAAGTATGAGATACATAGCTTTACGTCCCGCTCAGAGCGGGCAGATATAGTATATCTGCCCGCTACGTCATAATCGCTGTTCCCGTTGTGGTCCTTTTTTGTAACGTTCGCATACTGTAAACAACAATGGAGAAAAACGCAGACAATCGCGATCTGTTATATGCTTTAAAGAAGGGTAGGAGCAGTATGCCCCGGTAATAATCAAAGATTTGAACAGGAAAATCCGGCTACGGACAAGAATACAAAACTGTACATGAATATTTAAAAATAATTCTACTGTTTGTTGCTAAGTTTCTGAACTTTGGCCAATTGAACAATGTGATTGATATGGGATAAACAGATCATCCTATAGTCGGTTCAGGATATTAGGATTATCCCTTGGCCAATATAATATATCTACCCTCGGGACCTACGGCCCTCGGGCAGATATATTATATTGGCCTCGGGATAATCCCAATATCCTGAACCTCATATAGGATAATCTCTATTTATTCCATACTTAGTAGTGTTATAGGTATATAACATGCGGGAATATATGTGACGTGAGCGGGAGATATATATATCTCCCGCTCAGCAGATCTACGACGTCATAAATTCAGGGAGTAGATACTGAGCCGGGGGACTTTGCTATTATTCCTCACAATCTACTAAGTATAGAATAAATAAGTTATTAAATGCTCGATTTTTGATACAGGGTATATCCCTCGGTAAATACAATATATCAACCCTCGGTCCCTACGGTCCCTCGGGTTGATATATTGTATTTCCCCCAGATATACCCTGTATCAATAACCTCCCATTAAATAACCTCTATATATTTTCATCAGCGGTCAGATATAGCTATACGTCCCGCTCTGAGCGGGCAGATATAGTATATCTGCCCGCTGACGTCATAATCGCCGTTCGCATATTGGTTCATTTTTGTAACATGCGCATAATTACTGTAAACGTTAATGGAGAAAAGGCAGACAATCGCGATCTGTTTGAAGGAAGGAAATGAGCGTATCCCTGTTAAACAAGGATTTCAGAAATAAATGTGGATGAATATCTGAAAATCAGGCTATTCTAAATGAATTCTTACGGTTGGTTGGACATTTTCTGAACTCCGGCCAATTGAACAGCGTGAACAAAATGACCAAGACTGGTATGGGATAAACAGATCATCGTATAGTTCATTATCCTATGCCAAGTAGAGTTTTAGGGAGATAAGTTGGTAAGATATATCCCGTATTGAGGTTTCCATATCCTGAACCTCCATATCTCCCGCCATATCTCCCGCTCCAGCGCATATCTTCCCGCTTCGAAAAAAAAATTTAATTTTTTTTTTAAATTGAAAAAAAAGAAAAAATGTGAAAAAAAATTTAAAAAATTTAAATTTGAAAAAAATTGAAAAAATTGAAAAAAATTAGAAAAATGTGAAAAAAAATTGAAAAAATCGAAAGGAAATTAGAAAACTCTACTTGGTATAGGATAAAGCAGTTATGTACGGTCGGTTTGGATATGGGGTTCATCCCTCGTGAGATATGAACATCTACCTTCGGTCCCTACGGTCCCTCAGGTAGATATGCATATCTCCCTCTGGATAAACCCCATATCCAAAACCTCCCAGTACATAACCCTTATATATCCTGAACCTCATATAGGATAATCTCTATTTATCCCATGATACTACTAATTCCCGATGAATAACCGGGAATATTTTTAATATTGAGAAAAAATCATATTGAAAATTTTTGCCAAACAAAGCTTCCTCTTCAATCAGTTGGGTCGATATAGCATGCTAAAATGATGTTCTTATGTGAAAAACGAATTCCAGTTTTATCATCATCGCTCTGACACAGACAAAAATGCTTACGTATTGCTGAATGTTTTGATGTTGATGCGTTTATGTTACACATGTACAATAATTTTTTTATATTTAAAAATATCATAAAGCTAAGTCATATTTTCTTGATTAAATATACCATTTTTGAAGACAGTTATGAATATCATGGAATAAAAAGCTAATTTACTGGTCGGGATTAAATATGGGTTTATTCCTCATGACAATTTGATATTTCACATATTGTGAGGGACAATTTGGTATTTCCCTCTGACCCTCCGGGCTCTCGGTAAATATCATATTGTCCATCATAATAAAACCCATATTGAATCCCTCCCACTACATAACCTATATATATCTTGCGAAAATCTAGATCTGTCACTGGAAGGCAGCCCATCTTGAAAACAAGACACGGTGTCTTTGTAATTAGTCCGACTGATATAGCCTACCTAGAGAAAACTGCCGATACCTCAGCAACAATTTTCGAAACAGTAGGTTGGGATACCCCGAATATATCTCCATTTATCATTTGCATTCAACCTGTAGCATAAAATCGTAATGAAATGAATACTTTTAGCTGACATGGAATTGCCTGAGGATTCCTTGTTCTTGACGCTAGATCCCCATCTAATATATTAATCAACTCAAGAATGAGTGGCCTCGGCATGCGATATCTGTTTAATATCTCATCGTCAGTCATCTCTAACGGCTGACTCCTGTCTCTGAATAAGCGTAAACCTCTTCTATTGTGAACATAATTAATAATTAATAATTTTAATGTTAGCAGACGATATTTGCGAAATGGAATTGTGATATTTATTATAGATTTCACAAAACCAAGGTAGCATAATCGTGCACTTTCAGACTTGATTTTGATAAGTTTTGGTTACTTGTGTCTCTAATGTTTTTCAACCTATTTTTAGTTGGATGTCTCAAAGGGCACTTCCTAGATTTCTACAACGATAATGTTAATTTAAATAGGAAAACTATCAAGATTCTTGATGATATGTTTGCGATTTATAATGCGGCAGGGTCAGGGATGCCGCAAATAAAGTGGAGTTTCCGAGATAAAAATCAATGGATTTACGTGGACGCAACTGTGCGATGACTGCATAATACCAATTTGCGTGGGGTTAGCAGTGTATTTGCGATGCGAAATGAAAATAGCGATGCGTCTACCGTGTAATAAGAAAACTGCGATTTGCGCTAAAGACGCAAAACGGCAATGAATTTGCGCTAGAGTGCCTTTGAGATGACCTCATAATATCGTTTTGCGTACGATTCGCTAAATATTTACGTTGCGATTGCGATTTGCGGTGCGTCGACCGGATAATGAGGCCTCTGTTCTTGGATTTGTTTCAAATTTTATTTTGCAGGTTAATGTCTTTAGTTTGATTAGGAACTCTGTTAAAGCAGGAATATCCAATATAGCTGCTCAATTTAAAATGACAACCATGAAAATATCTTTCATAGCTCAAATACCAGGAGTCAGATTTGATTACAATTTTGTGGGTACTTGACTTTTCTCAAGAAGGAATTTTCAAAATGGCTGATCAATTCAAAATGGCCACCTTTTTTAAAGGAACATAATTTCTGATAGCTCAAACAAGGTACCAGTTATCAAACTTGGTTCTAATTTTAGAGACCAATGCAGTAGTTAATCAATCTATAAAAAGGAGATAGTACTACTGCCCCATTATTGGATTGGTGTTTGATTGTTGAATCATAGTTTAGTTTAGTTTAGTTTAGTTTTATTGTTATTTACAGTGGTAGGTTCAATACAATGCAATACAATACAATACAAAAGAAAAGTAATAAAAAGCAACCCAGCCCACTTGGGCTTATCAACCACTAATGTTAAAAATTACAATTAGATTCATAACAAACAATTTTAAAAATACTAGCATAAATTTCTTAGACACATACATGCAGTTAAATTCAATTTACATTATAAATGGCATTTCTTCTTTTAAAATAACAAAGTTTAACAAAATGAGCAGCTTGCCTAGGCATTTTTTCAAATAAATACTGTAACTTTTGATCCGTAGTTGATTCTGTTTCTTCAAAAATTTGGTGATTTTGTAAATATGTTTTCCTTATTTCCTTATAAAATGTACAATTAAAAATAAAATGTTCCTCATCCTCAATGTTGCCAGATTTACATAAAGTACATTTTCTATTTTCCAATTTTTCATTTCTAAATCTGCCTGTTTCAATTTTCAGTGGTAAAATTCCCATACGTAATTGTGCAATTAAAGATCGTTCCAACTTAGATAAATTTAGCAATAAATATGACTCAGTTTTGTATGAGGTTTTGAATTTGACATATGTTCTTAATTTTGGTTTCTTGTGTACTAAATCATTCCATGTTGTTTCATATGTAAGCAGTAGTTTCTTTTTGACTTTTTCTATATAACAATACTCTAAATTCTCAAAATTATCTTGACAATCACATCTATTTAAATCATAAAATGTCCATGTGATTCTGCCTCATAACTGGCATCCTTGTGGAAAACATCAGTATCATCTAATATATGTAGTTTGTGAATATAATCGTGATGACGTACATAATACCCATAGTATTCTGCAGACTCGAATGAATTATATCCAGTATACCATTGGTCAATGTGAAGGATGAACGTTGCATGTTTGTCGAACACTGTTGGGTCAATTGCAGTGGTTCTGTCAGCAAAATAGAGCATTGCGTCCATTCCACTTGCATGCCAGTACCGATTTGGATACTTTAGTGACTGAATAGAAATTGTTCCATCCTCTCCAGAAAGTCCAGGGGAGAGAATAATGAAATCCTCTTTGCAGTTGTTGACAATTTGAGAGCGATATGTTTCCTCGACTACAGCACAAATACCATATGTTGGAAGGTTTTGTGACACGAAGTTATAGATAGGTCTGTTCTCTAAAAATGATAACAATTAGAAAAATAAGAATTTAATGAGGTGCAAATGTGATAACTTACTTGTTTACAAAAGCTCAATTAGGGATTACGATCACTCGTACAAAATATTCTACTCAGAAAATTTTTAATTCAGATTAATAGTGTATTTAGTTATGTTATGAAAAATAAATACTTATAACATTCTACATGTATACTTGAAATAGTATATTTTTCAAGTGTATAAACTATGCTGACATTTTTCATACGCATGTGTCCATGTTTCTGTTAAAAATGGTTTTGAATCCATTAGTTTTAAAATAAGTAATTTAAGAATAAATGAAAGTTAAACATATGTTACCTTTGTTTATAGGCCAGTATACAGCATTATGTTCACTTGCCATTACTTGATTCCCCAGTAACTGACATCTTGGTTCGGAGAATTCATCTGGATCAAAATCAAATGCTCCACATTTTTCGTGTTCCACACATTTTGCTGCACATTTTATCAGTGACCTGGTTTTGATTTCCTGAATGACATTAGTTCCCTTGAAATTCATATGTTTTTCAAACATCTGCTGACTTGTGGCAGAGTTGAGAAATTGACTTAAAAGAATAATTGTCAATCGTTTGATAGCTGTCGCCATAATTCTTTTGAAGGATCTAGAAAGATCATCTTTTTCTGAACATTCTGTCCGCGTCAGTAGACTATAAGAGCAGATATTGCTTTTTTATTGAAATATTTGTTTATACACCAAGCTTAGTCTTCCCATCATTCTATATGTGTAATTCTCATTTTCGCGGTTCGCTCTTTGAATCAGAACGTTCGCAAATATACACTGAAAAAGCACTCAAAAAGGACAAAATTTGATTGGTCAATATTTTCCCACTATGCATTTCGCGTAGCTATTTGCGTGACACGAAAGTTCTAAATCAAACTAATTACTCAATTTTGTTTTTACACCCGCACGCTAAATAAAACAATGACACCATCGTAAGTATTCTTCTTTGTCATTGCTTTAATAGTCAGTATACCGAGTTTAATCAATAAAAGATTGTACAATGAACAACAAAATTCGGAAACGAGTACTATAGATTTGCTTTCGGACCACTGAACTGATTGACCTAGATAATAGCGACGCGTCTTCTTTGGTCTACTGCTGAGTTGTTTGTGGGTTTTCAACGTAACTCTATAATGTAATTTGAAGATGAATACTTTTATTCAGTTGTTGCATCGATGTCGCAGTTCGTAGTGCGGTAAGATTGGCATGAAAGTATTGAAAGTCGAATGGAATTGTTTTTTCCAATATGGCGACTAGTCTACTGATCACGTGACCTTCTCTTCCGGAATATTTTCTCACTTTTCAATTATTGTTTTCACCACGCTATGAATTAATACAATGAAAAAAATAGCTGTTATATTAAGATTAATGAGAGATCAATCGTTTCTAATAATTTTTACTGTACTCTCGTACGGGAATATGAACGAATATATCGTTTGAAAAATAGGTGTGAAAATCCCCATGTTAAACCTATGAGGGAAAATAAGGAAGTATAAATTTGTTCCCCCGCGAATTGCATCATGGGAAATATTTTGCCCTTATAAGGAAAGATTTTCGCGTCTTCTCTTTTGAAGAGGGAACAACGATTTCGAGAATTTGATTGATGTATACATAGATAGACACCAATCAAATTAGATATCTATTAATTATTTACAGAATATGATTGAGGCGAAGTTGAAGGGAATATAATGAAATCAGGTAGTGATTTTTATTCTATATGAATCATAGCATGAATAATTTATGTGATGTAAAACTTTTAGTACACTGTACTCTTGGTAATTTTCACGTGCTACTATATTATATATACTATATTACTATTGTTGTTATAACGCTGTTTTTAATCCCTTAATGTGGCACTCGGTACGTTTGCCACTCTCTGTTTTAATTGAATTGAAATAACAATTCCGTATAGGAGATTTAAATCAATTATTCTACCAAATCTGCTAAATATTTAATGAAATGGAGTTAAGTATAATAACACCTCCGTGCTATCGTCTCCCAGGTTTATCTTTACAAAATGCTGAATTTTAGTGTTTTTACCTATCATTGTATATCAAATCATGGGAAAGTCCATCATCACATCCTCCATTTTAAACTCACGTCAGATTGATCAAATCTAACAAAATAACCCTATAATAATGCTAGTATTGACTTCTTTCTGTATTATCTTTAATAGTTGAGCTTGAATGTAAAACTAACATTTTGGGTCTACCACATTTATTGCATTGTATTGTATTTTGTTTACCACCAATGAAGGTGAGCAATACCTCTTGGGCATATCCCGTATTATGCATATTAATTAAATTTAGCTATTTGATACTTGATAATCTTATTGATTGTATTTTACAATAAATGGTCCAATTAGTGTTAAGGTTTGCCTATTTGAGAATACATCCCATATGTTTCATCAATTTTCAATTTGTTCATTTGGAAATTCAAAATAGTCACCCAAATCAGGGGTTTTAGTAGAATTTCCCACAACAGGCTTTAAATGAAAACAAAGGGCAAAATTAATTGAAATCATAAATTTAACATGGAAAAGTTGATAAATCCCTAAAAACAACAGTCGGTTTTGAGAAAACAACTGGTGAAAATCGCCCATGCCTGCTGCTAAAGAACCCCTGCAAATAATGCAAGTGCATGTATTGTCTATCAGTATGGATCATAAATCTTTATTAAAGTACTTAAGGGGCTCTTGCAGGTAAAGGGTTTATCCCTTGGGAAATATGTGTATCTCCCTAATAGGCAAATATGAGGGACATGTTCATATATATTTTCACCATCAGTGTCAGTGGTGACATATTGTTTTACTCTCTAACTTTTTTGTTTGTAGATGGTGTTCGGGGGTGATTAGAAGTCAGTATTCGACATCTGTAACAAATGGTAGTTTGAGACATTTGCTTGTTAATACCTTGTTATTTTGTATAGTATGATCTGTCTATACTTTCAGGCCTATATTGGAACTTTACTAGGGAAACTAGAGAGCAATGGAGGTAGCCATTGGTCTCTGGAAGCAAAACTGAATGATGGTTCACAAACTATGGATGTGGTACTTGGAAACGATGTGAGTAGACATTTTTCACTTTCCAAACTAAAATGTCAGACTGTGATTTGTCAGATTTAGATATCCAAGTAGCGTATCTTGGGTCGTAGCAAAGCTATTACAAGTGTTGCATAACAGTTAATAACCTGCTTTTTAGTTGTTATTTGTTGAATGCAATGGAATTGTTTTAAGAGTATGTACATGTATAATGAAAATACAAATTGTAGCTTGAGTCCTGCCAGTATTGAAATTTTGATTGGCTGCCAAAATCAAAAATGCTCGCAATTTTTGATATTGCATACCAGATGGCATCCATAATGTTAATGTTAGATGTCACAGGTGTCAACTTTTGACTAAATGAGGGGTGTTTTGATAACAAAGGCTTAAAAGTTTAGTGTGATTTTACTATACATGGTCGGAGTAACAGAGTTGCTGTTAACAATTATGATTTATTTTTCGTGACAAGGAGAAATGTCATATTGACATATGATATGATATGAGAAGAAATTTCATTATGACATTTGTTTTTTGTTATTGTCTTCATTCCTGTTTTTGTATCAGATCAAAATTGGAACTTAAAATTATATTTCTTGATAATTTGAATCCACTTCCGTTAATGTCCATTAATTATAGGATCCTTCAAAAATTGATCCCTTTTGTGTATTTTAAAGTAGATATTGTCTTTCTGATCCATGCCTCAGAATTTTGGGAAATCTTGAGATATCTGTATGCGTGTATTTACCGTATTACATAGATTGAAAATATTTCAAAAATCAATTGAAAAATATTTTATTTTGATACCTGTCACATGAAAACACAGTCAAGTGAGTTATATTTTGTTTGTTGGTATTTTCTAATCAGTTTTGTAGTTTATAAGGTTGAAATTAAAATCAAAATGAGGTATATTGTTTTCGAAACAATTTAATAATGAATTGTCATGAACTGTAAATATTTCTAATGAAACATTAAACCGTGGTTGGTGAAAAACAATCCTGCACTTTCAGCAGCTCTTTTATTCTAGTACATTGCTTTATATTCCATATATTCTTTGACGTGTAGGTACTTGAAGGAATGATTGGTTTCCCAGCCTCGGAGAGTGAGCCCCTGAAACTCCAAGCCAAGACAGACCCAGCTAGTAAAACCAGGATGTTGAAGGTACATTACTTATATACTGTATATTAATTAGTTGTTGATTTGTTGTCCAAATACAATAGGGTGTTCTGATAAATCCTGCCACCTTTTGGTGTAATAAAAAATATAATATATTGGCTAAACTCATAATGTCATTGGTTGAAGATAGAATCTGACATTGCAAAAACATGATTAACTTATTTCTAATTTTGAAAAATACAACCTTCATTGTGTGACATCATCAATCTAGCCAATATATCAAAGTTTCTCTAATGTATCAAAAAGTGAGAGATTTATTGGAAAGATCTATTCCATACTTTATAATAAATGCATGTATAATTCACATTGCATGCAAGAAATATGATGAATTGTTAATTCAAAATAAAATGCATCTTTGAGAAATTATTGTACATAGCACTAATATGAAAGAATGTTGAGTGCAACCTGTATATCCGGACATTACTCTAATGAGAACTCCTCTCAATGTGAACAGTTCTTCTCTGTCCTAAATTTGTTATCAACTCACATTTTAAGAAAACCTTGAAATGGGATTACTGTATTGGTGTTCACATTTAGTGGTTCTGATTACATATGAGTCAATTGTGTATCTAAAGTTGAACCAAAGAAGGGTTCACATTATTTCAGGAGTTTTGAGAAATGTGGTCACGTGGATTGCTTTTGCTGCAACTTTTGCTGAACAAATGTAAGATGAAAATCATATAAACAAAAATCACTTTATTTATGCTTTAATGGTACATAACAATTTGCATTAATCATTTCAGGGTCTAAAAGGATGTCAACAGAAACTGGTAGATTTGTGTTGTATTATGGACTTACGCTTGAGTCCTGGACAGAAACCCTGTGTGGAGAGGTGCTATGAACTAAACGAGAAACACATTGAAGAACTGTTCAATAGAAACCCTGCATGGAGAGGGGCTTTGAACTGAATGATAGGAACATCAAATTACTGTTCAATAGAAACCCTGTGTGGAGAGGTGCTATGAACTAAACGAGAAACACATTGAAGAACTGTTCAATAGAAACCTTGCATGGAGAGGTGCTTTGAACTAAATGATAAAAACATCAAATTACTGTTCAATAGAAACCCAATGTGGAGAGAACCTATGAACTAAATGAGAAACACATTGAAGAACTATTCAGTGGAAACCCTGTGTGGAGAGGTTCTTTGAACATAATGAGAAATACATTGTAGAACTATTCAATAGAAACCCAGTGTTAAGAGGTGCTATGAACTAAATCAGAAACACATTGAAGAACTATTCAATAGAAACCCTGTGTTCAGATATTTTTGATATTTGTCGGAAAGATGTAACCATGTCTTAGTGATGACATATTAAACTGTGAAGTCATGCCATTAGTGAAAATAAATATAACAACAACTTCTTGAAGTGTTGTAAAAATAAAGTTAGAATAGAGAGTTATACCTAGTAACCAACATTCTCAAAAAGGCCTTTAGCTTTAATGTCCTGTTCAAGAAGCCCTATTCTTACTATTGAGAATGAATTCTACTCTCCCACTTAATTGTTTAGACACGATAAGCTTGAATTTTTCTGAGATAATGAGGATTTTGTAATAAGTGATGTCGATCTATTCACATAATGGGTTTCATGTTTACTTTGCTGTACATCTTTAGATGCCATCATATTATGCTATTCCTAATGTTCATACATTCATCAATAAGTTACATAACTTATAAATCCCACATGAATCTACTTGAGACTAGATCAACTTGAGTTCATCTGAGAAAATGAGGATTTCACTTGAACAGGGTTTGTATGTATTGATTAAGATTGGGGATACAATTGAGTTAAACCAGCATATCATCGGGTATGTCATCATAATGGGGATAGATATATTAATTGATCGACTGCCAATACATCACTTATTATACTAAAGAACATGAAGGGTAAACCACCTTAAAGATGCATTATACCATAGGTTTCTCGCCCAGACAATTAATGATGGGCAATGATGTCCCATTGTTATTGCTCATATAATATCTCACAAACCAAGGATATATCTCGAGAATAATGTATGGGTATATTATTGCTGAAATATTGAAATAATCAACAGAACAACCAACCTCCAGAATTAAACACAATTGATTCCTCGGCTAGCGAGGGGAATCCCCGTTGAGTCACACAAGCGCCCACAAGCGCCTTGAACCAAGCAGCCAATCAGGTTCATGATAAACAAATTTAACAACCAATCAGATAACAGGGGAATTCTCCCAGTATTTTAAAATTTTATATTGAATTAATATCCATGAAAATAATTAGATCGGTCACCAGAGTCGCAAATTAACACTGAAGCGGGGGATTTGGGACTTCTTCTTTTAAGTAGATGGGTGACTATGTGGTGAAGCTCAATATGCAAAAAGGTCCAGAGGGGTCTTGATTGTGCTATCCTATGGTATAGAGCCTCTTTAAAAGGAGAATCGGATCTAGTGAGCAAGCTAAACAAAACCGCTTCCATTTTAGAATATTTTTGGCTCCTATCATTCCTTGTTATATCAATTTTCTAAAAATCCAAAAAGTGCATACTTTATTTCAGGAAAACTAAAGATTTTCACCACAACATATTATTTTTCTGTAACTATGATTACCTTTTTTAATGTTTGAGAATTTAAACATGTTCCCCCATTTTTACACTTTGAATCCTTAATAAATTGACTAATTGATAACACATCGCGGATCTTTTGAGAGAGAGACTGTATGGAATAGATTGGTGCTCCATTGTACATGTTGCTTGCAATTTTCTCATCATCACTGCTTTTAACTTGAACAGATAAAAAGGATGAAAACTTGATGTTTGCTACCTCCTTATATCCAGGGTAATGCAAAAAATGTTATCCTTTAATTTTGGAATGTCTCAATTATGATGGAATCTTCTTAAATTTGGGCGAGTACAGACTGTTCAACGATATACAACTTTGAGATTTAAAGAGATCATATTTTCTGTTAAAGTATGCGCTAGTGCCAAAAACATTCCCATTGTCATTTCTGAATTTTTCTTTCATACATATGATATTGTCAATGATATGTCCTCTTCACTTTTTTGGAATAAACTGGTGAATAATGATGAATTAACTTACAATATGTCACCACCTGCTATTTGTTACAGACATCGAACACTTACCACTGTCCACAACAGTCACCATCTATAACAAATGGCAGGTTGTGTAATTTTGCATGTTAATGCCTTGTTTAGGATTTGGTCTAAGAGCATGAATTGACAGAAAACATGATTTCTCTATTTGGACTAATTTGAAAGTTGTACTAAAAGCTCTTCACAAGAAGATTTCATGATGAATATTTCCAAAATTAAAAGGTTGTATTTTTGTGTCACCCTGTGTAAGAGGAATTCTGTGTATCTTCATTAAACAAAATAAACAATATATATTTACTGTAACATAATTATTGCTTTATTTATGATAAACTGTTAGATATGTTTGTTGTTCTATAGAATCTACAATATGTACAGAATACACAGTTACTTACAAATATAAATCTGAAGCAGAAGTTCTGTTAATTTCAAAATGCAACAAGTATGGGAATTTAGATGAAACTGATGTTATATTCCACAACAGGGTTTTAGCACTAGAAAAATATATATATTTTATTCATATTGTTCTAAGATTTGTGATATGTTTCCTTGGATGGATAAGTTTATTTAAAGTGATAATTATATATTTTTCCAAGGTAATTGTCATTATGGTGGTCATTATCAAAAAATGGTTTATTCATTTTTATTTATAGAGATCAGACTTCAATCTGACAGCCACCCCATATATAAAAAATATGAATAGAAGTTAATGACCATCAAACAAGTTTGATAGTTCTTGGAGAAAGTGTGCCTACACACAAATATACAATTATAGTAGAGTGTAAAAATATGAAAGTAACAGTCCAATATATAGATGTCATACTACAATGAACAATAGATGTCATACCAATACAATAAACAATAGATGTCATACCAATGCAATGAATATAAATAGTCATTAGACAAATATGAGAGGCTCAACATTAATACAATTTTCAGTAAATCCTATTTATCTGAACATCTGTCTTATCTGAACATCTCTCCATGCAAACACATTTTGGGTGCCATAGACTTCTATGTTAAAAATCTTGAATGTGCCAAAATGAACACTTTTGGTTGGGTCGAGTTGTGTTCAGATTAAACAGGTTTTACTGTAATATTATTTCTTTCTCATACTGTATCCAAATTAGAAATAAGTAAAAAAAAGACTGAAATTGAAATATTCACCAACCATTAATTCCCCATTCAATAATTTCATTATTTCTGTGATCTGAACACAATTTTAATTAATCCTATTTCTGGACTCACTCCACACCAAAATTGAGAATATCAGCACCATGATCTAATTGTCAAACTCTATCTAATCTAGAAATATTTATATAATTTATTACAGTATGTATAAATTGCAAAAATATGAATTTTTAATTCATTTTAGATTATAATATATAAATTTCTTGGCTAACATTGTGCTAGTAAAGTACAGTACATTAAAAATATTTATCAATTAAATAATTTCATGCATAAATTCATGTATAATATAATCAATTCCAAAATTTCATACTTTCTCAAACAGTAATACCAATCACTTAAATATTCACTGACTAATTAAATTCATGATCGTTCGATAATTTCAAAGAAACAGAAAATGACAAATGAAGAAAATAAATACAGATAAACCTCCACATATAAGAATTTCATGATGAACTATATGACATAATCAAACTTTCAAACAATACATTTCTTGTAAATAACTGACTGTGCACATGTGGATAAGTATTATTTTTCTCTGTATTCTCCTTCCATACACAGTAGATGCATTACTCATCAACTAAAATTGGACTTATTGGATAGCTTAAATGTATTAGCATTAATACATTGTAAGTATAATGATAATGAAAACCAGATTTCAGTATTAAATAAAGATACATAAATATTAAAAATTCAGTGAAGAACTGAGGATATATTTTCAAAGCAGCCATTTTTTACAATAATAGGCAGTATATGAATATAGAAATTACATACAAAATATAGTTTGCAAAATCACATGCATTTTTGAACGAAGGCACCAAACAGTTTGAGCCTGTATCCATAATAGATGATAACCCACACAAAATTGTCATGTAATGGCCATGCTTCTGTTTTCTGTATACAGTCTAGCGCACAGCCCAAAAACTGTCACATACAGTAAATCCTGTCTTAGTGAACACCTCTCTCTAGTAAACACCTCTTTCTAGTGAACACCACTTCAAGGCACATTGTACATTGACTCCTGTTTTAAGTCCCCTCTCTAGTAAACACCAATAGTGAACACATTTTGTGGCTCCATGGGTGTTCACTATTCAACATACAGGTTTTATTGTATTTAATTTATTTATACTAATCAGCCCATATTGAGCCTTTTACATGTATTTAGGCTGTCCATCAGACTGTAACGATTCATGACCATCTTCATTTTCCATGGAGGCACTTACACTAAAATCTCAATCTTTGATGTACATATGATACAATGTTAATGCTTATATTACATAAATCACACATATCTTATGCGAGTGCTTACAATGATACATTGAACAGGGAGCTTGTGAGGCTGAATATGTCATCTTAGAGGACTACATGTACATCACTTCAGCTACACTCTATTGCATCCATTGATTAGATATCACTGAACACACTAAAATTGATCATGTGACACTCATTAGTTAAGACTGGATATAATTAACCAATCCGAGGATAGATGAATCCACAGGGAATATCTCAACCAATCAATGAGTTCTACCTCTGTCCATTTATAGATGTCTCTATAGAACGTTGTTTACTTGACACTTTTGATTTTTCCCTAGGAGTGCCATCCTCGCCTGCTTCGGTAGCGAACATTTTCATTTTATCCCTAAATGACATTTTGTCTTGGCCAGGGTTTCTTGGATTTTGTTGTTTAGCAGCCAACAGTCTCTGTCTAGGGTCTCTATATACTTCTTGGGCTCCTATGATACTGGGGGTAGGTCCAGTCTCATATTTTGCATCATTATTATTTTCAGGGGTTCGTGGTGGCATATTTTCTGCCCCATACCCACGTGGGTCAGTGTCATTGGGAGGGGGGCTAGTAGGTAGAGGAGGGGGTGGGGTATCCTCTTTGTAGCCTCCCGCAGGATGGTATGCTTGTTGCTGGTAGGGATACCCACTTGGAGGTCCCCCTCGATTATCCATCATCTGCCCCTGGGGTTGTTGGCCTCTATTGTCCATAATTTGCCTCTGTGGACCTCGGTTGTCCCCCATTTGTCCCTGGGGCCCTCTATTCTCCACCATATCCATGGGAGGCCTTGAGTCAAATGACACACTTTTTTTAGTGGCAGCTGTAGGGGGCTCCCTTGGGGGTTGTTGAGGCTCTGGCCTTCTCCCCGGGCCTCTTTGCTGCTGACTAGGGTCATAGTGTGAGGATGTGGGGGTTTGTGGAGGGTTATAGCCCTGTGGCTGATATGCCTGAGGCTGTGATGTCGGCTGGGTATACAGCTGAGAGTTGGGGTTATAGGGGTGAGGCTGAGGAGCTGGATGAGCTCCTGATTGCGGAGGATGAGGTGGATAATTCCCATAGTACTTTGTGGTCTGTGGTTCATTCGATCCAGATGATGAGTACTGAGATTGGGCCCTCTGCTGTCCCTGTGGGGCATAACTCCCAGTGGGGCCGTAGCTACTGGCGGGGAGTGATGAGTAGGCCGGTTGTGATGTGGCAGGCCCGGGACCACCTGAGTGGGGAGGAACATAGGCATAAGGCATAGACTGACTACCACTAGGCTGCTGGGGAGCAGGCTGTTGAGACTGGGACATGTTCATAGGATTTGTATACTCATATGATGATTTCCTCTCTGGGGGAGGAGGGGCATTAAGGGTAGCTTTAGGGCCAGCATAGTTTGGGCTTCGGGCCTGTGGTGGCCTATTGCCTTGGTCTTGCACCTCATAATGTCCATATTTCTCAATTCGTCTCATATCTTCATTCATTCTATTTTCCCTAGTCTGCGTACTTAACAAGAGTTTCTCGCGGGTGTATTCCTCTTCTTGTCGCCTTGCTTGATCGCGTAGTTGGCGTTCCTCAGCTTCTCGAGCTAATTGCATCTCCCGGAGTTGTTCACGTTCCTGAAATATACACAAAATGTGTTATTAAAAATGATAGTTTCAGATATCTCCAAAAGCCATTCATTGTCTTCAAATTATCACGTTGATGGTGTATTGTAATAATTAATAGATGCCTTATTAGTGACAAAACATCAGTGCAAATAAATGACATGTTCATTTTATTACATAACAGCTATAACATTACAGAAGCACTTTACTTAAAATTTGTGAGAAGTGATTCTGACAAGGGACACAAGGCATCAACAGGAAAAATTTCACCACCTGCCATTTACGAGGGGTGATCCAAAAGTCTTGGACGCCCTGCTCTATTTTTGTTGGTTTTTGATAAAATTACTTTAAACTTTCCAATAATAAAGACCAACAACCTAACTACTTTGTGTATTAATTTCATGGAGAAATGATATATTTTGTATAGTTTTCTAGATAGTTTTTAATACAAGGACCCTGCCACCCGGAACGGTATTCGCACATGGCAACTTTCAGCCTTAAATGTTACTGCCATTTCACTTGTTTCGCAAGTCTTGACCACTATATTTCTTTGAATTTTGAATGTTAAACCATGTAAGTTTACTTCCTTTGTTACTAGGCAACCAATTAATTGTGTTTTAATTATAATGTCACATGACAATGGCTGCACATGTCAAATTCTAAGAAAATGCCATCAGACAAGCAACCCTCATTCTGGTATCATTTTTGCTGCAAGATGGCTGCTGAAAGGCAGAACACGAAAGAAATCAAAGTGGAACAAAGAATACTACTGTTATTGACCTTAAGCAGCTACCATATGCACGATACAGTGTATCTATGGCTCCATGTAATTTTCTTCCTTTTCTCCAAGTTGAAAGGATGGTTGAAAGAAAATGTTTTTTACTCATTGAATGAGGTTTAGAGTAGCACTCCAGCAGCATTTGTATCACAGAAGCAATGACGGTTTCATAAATGTCTTCCATTCATTGGTAAAGTGGTATGAAAATGTGTTCAAATTCGTGGAAAATATGTTGAAAAGTATGTCTTAATATGTGAAGATGATGATGGCAGATGACACTCAGATTGGAAATCGAAAATTCTCTCATATCATGGCTGGTGTTAGGTTGTGCACCTGCACCTAAAGTGTTTGCCATATTATAACAGTTGTGACATGATTTGCTATATTTAAATACCGTTCCGGGTAGCAGTGACCCGGTATTAAAAGATATGTAGAACAGTACCTAAAATATATCATTTTCTGTTGAAACTTATACATAAAATTGTTAAGATGTTGATCTTTATTATCTGAAAGTTTCATGTAGTTATATTAAAAAATAGCAAAGTTAGAGCGGGGCGTCCAAGACTTTTGGATCACCCCTCGTATAATAGACATCAAACTGTGAACGCTAAATGTCAAACACAGTCCATAAAAAAGTTGGAGACTGTTACAATCACCACGTGAGATGGTGACATAACTAGAGAAATGCAGGGGCATAGATGACAATACTGAAACATGAGAGGTATCAGGAATGTTTAAAAGGAATGTTTATCAGCTACTTAAAAAGGAATTCTGATTGTCTGAAATGGGGGGGGGGTGGCACTGACATCGATTGATGTACTAAATTCAACAGTCCAACAGAAATTAGGAATATTGTCTATCTTAAAGTGAATTCTGATGAAGTTCACAATGCTTGAGCTTAGTGGAGAAACAGATTCTTACTAAATCTTTCTTTTTTCTAATCTCTTCCATCTTCCTCTGTCTGATACGTTCTTCCTCTTGCTGCTGCTGTTTCTTATGCTCCTCTGCCTCTCTCCTTTGTTTCTCTCTCATCTCCTATACAACATAGGGGGTCACACATTCTAATACAGGGACTAATCTGTGGGGTTTACATGTTTCAATTCATAAAATAAACATATTGGGTTGTTTAGAGAATTTCTTGCTTGGGAGAGATCTGCTGTGCATTTACTGAATATGATAAAACAAAAATATCCAATAATGATTTATCAGAATCTTGTAAGAATGTGTTTTTCCTTGATTTGTCTCTATAACAACCTCTAGAAAAAGCAATACTTGAGAATGCACAGAAGCCTTTGAGTTAAGTAATGGATGTTTAAATTACCATGAGATCTCAATTTGTGAGACATTAACCATGTACGTCTCTCCTTGCCTTATCTTAACATAAATACGATTAGTGGAACTTAGCACTATCTATACCAGGGTGCTGATTAGTTTCGTTTTATAATACTTATGTACCTAGTATAGGTTTACATATGTAAGTGTTCAAAGTGTTATCATAATAATTTGACCTAATGAAGTAAAATATGTTTTAACATTGTTTACTGATAAGAGAAAATTGAGCTGAACACACTGGGAATGAGATATGATTCCGAGATGTGGACCTGGCTGAACAATAAGGTTAGTCAACATACATGAAGCAACACATAGAATAGGGGTCTGTCAGGGTCAGAAATCTCCTGAGAGAACAGATTAATAAAGCAAATACATGTACATGAATATTATCATCATATAAAGGGGCAGTCTATTATAGCTCAGAAATTCCTGTTTAAGCATTTTGAGACTCCATTTGATTAAAAATATTAGTCAACATAATAATGAACAATGAATGAATAGACACATTCGTTTATAGGGGGGGGGGTGTATCATGAAACCCTGCCAGACTGGTACACCCCTCCTTTAAGTATAGCATATAACAAATTTTATGACAACCCAGGATTAGTAATAGTAGCATAAGCCACTCCAAGCATCACCTAAATGTCCAGTTCTGTTTTAAGAATGAAGAATAAGAGATCAATCAATCCAACAATGCCCCAAAACTAATCAAAATACACTGTGGGATTGATGTACCTCCTTCACTAGATTATTAGCATATATTTGTTATTACAGGGTGTTCACTGTAAGTAATCATACAGGGTGTCCACTTTCTACAAGTCATTATAAAATTCATCCACATACATAAGTTAACAGAGGTTAATGAGAGGCTTATGAACAGTTAAAATGTGTGTTGAATTAAAAAAACCTATAGACAAGATAAGGCTGGTTCATTTTGATCATGAGTTTTGATATAGGAAACATGGTATAACTACTTAGTGAACACCCTGTAGAAAGTTTATATTAAGTATAATTGAATATTTTTATTTCTTAAGCAAGCTAGATTAACTTAAGAAGCCACTTTGTAATTGTAGTAACCGAGCAACCTGAACCCTTCAGGATAAGACTCTTACCCGCTCTTTACGCTCTTCTTCTATCTGTAAAAATATCAGTCATGAAAAGACTGTTGCAAGATTAAGGGAAAAATAAGCACCATATGAAATGCTAAAGGGAACAGTAACAGTAAACAGTAAATAACACACTACAAGATTAACAGGGAATATAAAATAAAAAACAAATATAGCATCCATCTCCCAAAGTCATTTAGTGAAGCACAAACTGTTAACCATGCAGTGACAAATACACCCCAAACCAAAATATTATTTATATTTCAGCGAAAATTCTATAATTTTTGATTAGAGTGTATTTAGCTGAATGTAAAAAATCCAATGAACTAACACTACAAATGACACTATGAAAATGTACAACAAGGGAAGAACAAAAAATACACAATCGTCAGTTGAAACTCACTCTTTGTTTCCGTAAAAATTCTTCATGCTCTCGTTCCTTTTTCTCTTGTTTGGCGGCCATCTTTTGTTTCTCTTGTTCCCGCTGTTTCTCAAATTGTTCTAATCGCCTGTTTTGTCTGGAATTTTATATGGAAGTAATACAACTATATTCAGCACAATTCAAGCTTTTTTAAAACAGATATTCAAATTAGGATGTAATAAAATATTCGAAATTATTCAGCATCATTCAGATTTCTAGGTATAGTTTTACAATGAATTCCATTTTCTTGTTCAGATTACAGATTTCAGATTTGTTCAGATTTGAGTAACTTAAGCTAAAATCATTGAATTAAATTGAATTTTCTTAATTATTCAAATAAATTCATGTTTCCTAATTTAACACAAGAGTCTGAATCTGGCAGTTTGTATATAGATAAATAGACATGAATTACAATGTTAAAATATCAAAGGGGTATCAAAATTGTTCCATCAACCAAAATACAACATTTGTAATTCAGGCTGGCATAAATGTTCCCTTTACCTTTCTGTCTTCTCTTGTTCAGCCTTGAAGTCATCTATACGTCTCTGTTGTTCATCTTCTTCACTCTTTTTCCTTCTCTGGGCAAGGTCTTCTTGCATTCTACGGAGTAGCTCCCTACGACCCTAAGGACAAAACACCATACCCTTCAACTAAACTACCCTTGTATGCACCAACCAATATAGCCACCATCCATTGACAATACAAGAAATTGATGTGATAAAAATGATTAAAGAAACAGATCAGGTGAAAAAGACTGTTGGGTAAATGTGAGACCTCATGGCCAAGAGATCTTTAGAAAATGTGTATAAAGGGGCCCAGTCTTCAATCCTAGCATATGCCAAATTAAAAGAAATAGAACAACCTACGACTTGCACAACTAAGACTTTGAATTTCCATTACGTTTTATATAAACAGAAAATGAGCTTAGTATCAAAGTATACTGACGGTGCACATTACACATTGATAATTTTGCATATATTAGGAGAGTTAACATCTGGGCCATTTTAACAGTAAAAAGGAATTTCAGAAAAATTGCAAAAATAATCAATCTACTTGGATGGCCAATGGATATACTAGCTTAATTTGCAAAAATCAGTATACACAGTATGTTTAATGCAAAAGCAGCGAGCTATTTGGGGCCATTAATTATGAAATCATACCTTCAGTACATAATCATATTTGCAATTTCGCTTCTGCAGCTTGCCTTTCTAAAAATATCACAGTGGTTCAATTTTGTCAAAAACAATCAAAGAAACATGAGAGGTTTAAATGAGTACCTTGACCCCTCACTTAATGGAAAGATTACCTTGAAGTTCAAACTTGTCTTTGAAAAAAGTAACCACTGTAAAATAATTAGAAAGAGCACCCAGACAGTAAAGAGTGTATTGAATTATCATAATTATTAATAATTATTGCTAGTAATGTAAGTAAGAGTTATTCAAGCTAGATTTTGCATATATTGTTTGGGGGTCAGTTTTGCGCATATCTTGCATTATTTGCCCACAATTTTGAGTTCAGTTTAATAGATAAAAAAATGGCTCAACTTTATGTGTTTCTCAGTACAGTCTAGCCCAATGTTCTCTGCAGAGAAAATTCTGTATGTACGGAGTACTTTGAGAGGTTGATTGTCCATTTAGATTCTAATCAATTCATGAACCAGTCAATCCCTATTCATTTGAGACTACTGTTCAAAAGACCTCAAGTAACAGAAAACCAATGATTTTCAGTTTTGCGGAAGTTTTCTATTTTCATTACATTTTGATGGGAGAATGTATGCTGGCTGAATGAGATTGTGATCATAACTTACCGAGGCTCTATCTGTCAATTCTGAATCACTATCTCCTTCTTCATCATCATCATTCTTTGATTCGTCCAGACGACGTTGGAACTCCTGGTCAAGTCGCAACTTCTGTAATCGAGCTTCCTCGTCTGGTGTCCTGAAACGTGCAATTGTGATGTCATAATTTTGAATAATAGAGAGCCACTTTAAGATCAAAAATATTTAACCACTTTTCTTATTTACTATCAACACACTTCAAATATGTCATGTACATGTTTATTTCATGTACTTGTTTATTTCATTCGTTCTATATAGACTATTATTCTACTTTCTATTTTAAACATGTTCAACTTGAATTTTATCCTTCACATTACTCACCTGAACTGCTTGCTTGCCAAGAACCCAATCTCCTCATCTCTCATCTGTCCCATCTCAGTTGCGACCTTCTTCTCTTTCCTTTCCTTTTCCTCTTTCTCCCAGGGTGAAGGAGAGGGAGGGGGCGCCCCTGTCCTCATAGCCTCCGCCAACATCCTCACCTGTAGCGATGGTCCCTGTCCCCCAGGACCTGCCACGGCATTGGGATTCCATGAGCCCATTGAGTCTTTTTCAAGTTTATTTATTTCGTTGATATCACGGATAACATCCTTGTCTGCTCTTGGGCCACTAGGTGGCACTGTTGGAGGACCGCGTGATAATGGTTGCTGAGATTCAATTGGGCGCATAGGCTCGGGGTGTTGGCGACCATGTGGTCCACCTGGGGGTGCGCTAGGGGGAGGTTGGTAGCCATGGGGCTCAGGTCTTCGGTGATCACCTCCGTAGCTGGCCATACGGTCCCTCTGCTGCTCCTGATGTCTCCGCTGTTCCATTTCAAATCTTCGTTGTTGGTCATAGGGGGAGCCACCATCCTGTGGTGGAGGTGGGGGAGGGAGATCATCAACATATCCATCAAGATCTGCAGGGGGAGGGGGAATCTCTGGGGGTGGGGGCAAGTTTGGCGATTCACTTCTCCTATCGGGTGTTTGACGACGTATATCATCTATTCTCTGGGGAGAGGGTTTGCGATCCTGGAACTGCACTGTCCTCGTTTCTGTAATTACTTTCCCTTGTAATTTTGCTTGTTGGACATTCTGGTAATGAGGATCATGATCACGAGGGTCTTCAAAGAACTGGGGTTGAGTTTTCCGTGGGTCAGACGACACTCTGGGAATTTCCTGATGGACAACTTGAGGCCCATCAGGCTTTGGGGCAATTTGGGGCTTCTGGGATACCTGTGGTTTGGTTGGTTCAGCTGGGCGTTGCATTCGTTCAAATTGAGGCTGGGTGTTAGCCGGTAGAGGTACTGTGTTATTGTAAAAGTTTTGTTGAGTGTGTTGATTATTCTGAGCTTGGCGTGGTATATCATGTTCATAACCTCTTGCCCCTGGGGGACCAAACCCTCCCTCTCTATCCCTGTCCCTGGGTGGTTCATTACCATTTACTGAGCGCACAGTTGTTGTCGTCACTGTTTCCTTTTGCATATATGGTGGTACAGGTTCCCCTGGGGGTAGATTATTCTGAGGTCCCCCAGGGTATCTATTAGGGGGAGGAGCACCACCGCCACCAGGGTGATAATTCTCATAATTGTTTCTCATATCTTGATCAGGATGCAAGTTGGGTTGCGATATGCTCTTAGGATTTTCTTGGTTTCTTGTTTGATAATTTCTCGGTAATGTACTTGATGACATCACTTGACGATTGTCTCTGATTGGCTGATTTTCTATCCTACCTGGCTCCCGCTGATCAAGATTTGATGTGGATTTTGATCGCATGGCTATTTCTCGTGGGTCAACCATGGGTTGTGGGGGTCCATGTTGTCTAGCATATGGATTGTGGGGGGCCTCACGCGGGTCTCTTTGATCTCGTAAATTACTTGTAGATGTCGAGCGAATTTGTTCTTGGGATTTTGAGCCTGAAAATAGTCAATATCAATGTATGGTAAGTACATTTTGCAATAATTTATGTTCAATTAGCTGTATTTCACTGAAGACACAGTGACCTATTTTTGCACACTTGTATCATTCATTTTTAGCATGTAAATTTGATCTTTTTATGTTAAAGCCTTAAAATATGTTAATACAAAACAAAGTTACAGTTTGAATCATTGAGCTATAATTACTAGGGATGGGACGGTTCGTTTCGGTTCGGTTCGGTTTGGTTTTTCGGATCATCAGCCGTCGGTTCGGTTTTTTCGGTTCGGTTCATTCATTTTAAGGATTTGTATTGATTGACATGATTAGCTGCTTTGTCTCTGACTTCACTGCTGACTGTCACTTTCTTTTAATACAACCAATAAAATAACTAATTTATGCTTGTAGAAACCTTTATTCTGTGATGCAGACGCCATATTTGAATGTATTGTGGGTGCGCACAAAATAATACCCTATCGAACCTGCGCAAATATAAATTTGCGCAAATCTTTGTATCAATTATGCCACGTTATAACAATATTTTACAGATGGAATTTTATGTTATAGTATTGCATGAACAATACATATTATTTAGAATACACGACTAAAGAATGTAGTACCAGGGACCACATGATTGATTACCGAGAGATACGAATACGCGGATACGAAACGAATCTAGTAAACGAGTGAGCTAGCAACAGACAAGACAGACAAGGTAGGGACTAGGAATATCAAAAATGTTGCTGTTAAACAGTGTTTTTAACTGTTTTATTGATACTTGACCAATGAAATATTAATCCGAAAACGATCCGAAAAGCTGATCCGAAAGTAGGGCCATGATCCGAAAACTGATCCGAAGGCTATAAACCGCGGTTTTTCGGTATTTCGGTTATCCGTCCCACCCCTAATAATTACTCATACTTGTTTTCCATGATTTCATGCCAGAAAAAAATATCATATTCTGATGAAAATAATTGTTAAAAAAGATCAAAACCTTCTACATTTTTCTGATTTTCTACCAAGATGCACAAAGGGCTGAATGAGCTGAGATTTGAAACAGTTTCATTAGATAAATCAAAATCTAAACAATAATAAAAATAATTGCAATGGAGTGCACAGTTATTGGAAATTTCCTATTTTTGTTTGATCATATCTCATTATGTAGAAAACAAATATGAGTATAGGACTTAGTATTTGATACACTGATATATAAATAAAAAAAGTTAAATATTGGCCCAAACTCCTTATATTATAATGTTAGATAGATCATGCATTAACTAGAGTAGAAACTGACTAGGGAAATATGGTCGCTGTTTGCCATCATGTAGCATTTGATCTCCGTGGAATCCATCTTGTTTTGGCCCATTGAATCGTGAGACATCTTCACTTTGAGGGCGTGGTTTTCCCTGGCCTTGCCCCTGAGTTTGGGGTGGACCCCGTTTATTAGGGAACGCTGAAATTGTGACACGTCACATAAGTACCACAAAGAAAAAAGAATCGATCTGATTCTTGATGCAACATTGCAATAATACAGCAAAATTTGTACAATGGAACACCTCTCTGTTAAAAACATTTCTACAAATGAAACACCCACACACCATTAAAGTACATATTAGTGAACCCTTTCTATAAAGAACATCTGTCTATAATGAAGGTGTTCCACATATACAGGTTTTAATGCGTTAAGTTTGATCTTAAATCTTATAAGATCAAAACCTGGTAATGTTGCATCTATTTATTAAAGAATCAGATCCTATAAGTATATGTTAGATAGATAAGGAATTTCAGAGAAAATATCTTACTATATTACAAAAAGGCTAAAACAGATTGTCTGTTAAAAATAGAAAACTTAACTATATAATTATAATAGAAGATATTAAAAGTAGTAGTTGAAAAGTATTAGGGTTTAAATTTTGTATTAAATCTTGTAATGTATTAATATTAATAACAGCCAGTCAAATGCCAACTTAATTAAAACCAATCACAATCATATCAAAATTGTTGCTGAATTTAATATGTTTATGAAAGAAAGAATGAAACTTCCAGACAGGAGAATGAATTCTTCAAAGATGTGAGCCCAGAAATGTAATAATGGGCTACTTTTTAGTCTGCTGGGCAAGGTAACCACAAGGCAGATCACTAAATTACACACAACGTAACCCCCTATCCCAAACCTACCTCTTGACATGACTGGGGAAGGTTGACTTAATAGTGTAGCAAGTCCCTGATAGATGGCAGCCTGCTTTGCGACCTTTAACGTGACGTTATGTCCAGTTTTGGTCATCAACTCCGCAGCCTTTTCTTGAGTCTTTCCAATCAGATTCTTGCCATCAACCTCGAGAAGTTGATCTCCTGCTTGTAGCCGTTTATCCTGGAACATAAACAACAATTATCGTAAAATATGTTTAATTGTATGCAAATTACTATCATAAAATCAGTTTCTTATTTTTCTTCATGTAATAGAGGGTTTGCCATATTCAATTTCCAGTCAAGTAGTAATGTACTTACCTGACATTTTACCCCATTGATATAATGTTAAATTACAATTCACATGTCAAGAAGATCATCTTGTTATATTTGTTTACTTACTAGATCAGCAGCACCTTCTTTGACAACAGACTTAATGTAAATTCCCTTCTCCTCCTGACGATCTCCCTGTAAATATACAAAAATAAATAACCGTTATTAGATGACTGAACGTGTGAACTGAATTACATGTTGGTGTTGGTGGGTACTTGTGTATGTTATGTCTGAGGGTCTGTGAGGGGGATATTCAGATGCTTTCGAGATGGTGGATATCAGATAAAAATCCATTCTAGTTTTTCTGACTCTGCTATCTGCTACCTTAATTCCTTTAGATATTCCCCCAGATACTAAAGATAACATAAAGTCAACAAGCCATTAACATGCAAAATATTACCACCTGCCATTTGTTACAGATACTGACTGCTGAACACCAACCGCCATCCACAAAAAATTTGGAGACTATAACAATATGTCACCATTGTTCACTAAGAAGTTATCCACAAAAAATCTTTATTTTGCATCAGTATTTTTCTAAACTGATCACTCTGTAATATAATTCATAATGAGAAACCGCCTTAAAAGGATTGTCAAATTAATTGAGTTTAGAGGATGGATGACCCTTTTCCAATTGGATTATAAACAAATATCGAAGAAATAAATAATTGATAAAAGTGAGCCAATATATCTTTATTGAAAGGATGATATATTCTCGACTAACAAGAACAGATTTATTGTTGATAGTACTTTTATTTGTGTGGGTGTTTATGAACCTGAGGTATTCTAACATGATAAGAACCCGTAAGTAAAAATATCTTAAGTCTCCTGAAGGAAATACCACACCCTTTGTCTTTAAAAGGAGAAACCTCCCAACTAGATACCATTTTGTTTAAACTATTATGATCCTATAGCACTACTATGCACTATAGTACATTTATATTATGGAATATGATAATGTGATAATCTTCAATCTAACTTACCAGTTAAAATCCTACTATTTTATGGGAAAACAATGCTGCTCATGGCTCTTAATCTGGGTGCTCGCAGTTCATAAAAATTCAGTTAAAAAATCACTGTCTGTGACTGTTATTTGAATCATAAACAGATACCAAACCGTTCAATATTAGTTCCTACCTTAAGTGAAGTTTGCAGTAACTATCCTATAGTATCTCATACTTAAGTGGGTTTGGGGTAGATATCACTCGGGAATATATATCATATCTGAGGAGCGGGCAGGATATATTGTATATGTCCCGCTCCAGGCCAAATGCGGGCAGATATAATATATCCATCCCGCTCCCGGGAATTTTTCAAAAGTTTAAAAAAGTTAAAAAAAGTATGACATACACCAGTTATGCACGGTCGGTTTGGATACATGGAATATCCCTTGGGATAGACAATACATCTTCACTCGGTCCCTTCGGTCCCTCGGGAAGATATATTGTATATCCCTCGGGATATTCCCTGTATCCAAAACCTCCCAGTGCATAACCCTTATTTATCCGACCAGTAATATGAACCAAGAGCAAATAGTCTCAGTTTGATCAAACACATTTACGCTGACAAACTTAATATATTGCTTTCACCCTCAAACATGTTTTTTCAATTGCTATGCTAATTTAATGAGCGTTCCCTTTTTAAGCACCTCAAAAGGTCGGATCAACCCACAACTTTTTTGTGGTCTAAACTTCAGGTCTTTTTATTTGAAAAGTCCTACCATGCTAAAGATGATAATAAATCAAAATATTAATTACCCCCAAATTCACATTTATACGCACTGAGTCACCTTTTGTGGTTCATCATCTGATGAAAAACTATTTTTGTTCATGAAAACACAGAATGATATTTTGTCATGTTAACGCATATGTCATGATATTTATTGCTTTTTAATTGAATTTGCTGCATGATCATTTTTCATTGTTAATAAATATCCACTTTGCTGGAAAATTTCTTGAAAAATGCTTCATATATTTTTGGCCTTGGATGACTTGTTGATCCTGTTAGGCATTTCAGGATATTTTCCGATGAAACTAAGAATAAGCAAAATGTTGATGATTATTTCCAAATGTCTAATTTAAAAAGCAATATACTGAAAATTAATTGATATATTATGTGTTTCTAACAATGCTGTTATATTAATCATAGCAGCAAAGCTTGGTGATTATATTATACATGTATTTAAATATACAAAATAGACATATATCCTAGAACACCATGACATCTATAATTGATAATGAATGTACTAAGATAAAATGTATAAAATTCTACCTGTTATATTTCTTGAGCTCCTAGTATTTTTGAAATCTGCAGCCCCTTTCTACTGGCTACACTTTGTAATAAGACCTCAATCCAACTATTAATAGAAGATGATTGAACGCATTGCAAGTGTTATAGCAGACAAGCCGCTTTTATTCCCTCCAAATGCTTCTATTCTATGGGTTTCATGCAATATTCTATAAATTACAACATTTCAAAGTCTGAAGTTCAACTTTCTCCAATAACCCTTAAATAAAACAACTGACAAATTGACTTCAATTTATTTCACCATGCTTTTATATGTAATGAGAAAAACTTTAATAATTGGTGATAAATACTGCGAGAAATGTTGAAAGTAAATTGAACATTATAATCCTGTTGATTATTCCTTTTGAAGGATAATAGGTGAAATTCCATATTTCATGAATTGAAAATATCCGGAAGGAATTGAGCACTTCACTTTTACCTAAACAAACACTCACGGCATTTTATGTCGAATGATTATATGAGCTTCAAAAACGTTCATTGATCAGGTATAAATGCGTTGTTTAATTTGTCAACATGCCCTAGACGAAGCGTTTGGGGTCATAATCCGTGAACCCTGTATACCTGTATCAAAATGGCTATTAACTATGAGCGTTAATCTAATTTCGACTGTTTTAATCATGATAATAGAGGACAATATTACCATTTTATGAAGTTTTTATTCTATCCAAGTTTCATATTGTGATTGATGAGTCCACTGGTTATGACACATAGAGTCCAAGAAAATGTATGTAAGGAGAACACATGAATGACATAAAGACAATCTCCTTAGTGATTTATTCAGTTGCAAGTGATTTATCCATCAGCGTTTCTTCACTTAAAGATCTCATCCATTATTTTTAGTTTTATGGGTGACCCAGACAGATATTCAATTTCATAATTTTTGCCTCATATCATTCCTTGACATGCCTAGGTTCTATTAATATATCAACCGAAGGATAGTTTTTGAGGCACACATGCTGTTTTGCTAAAATTAACGGTTCCTTAATGTTTTGGTTTTGGTTGCTATGGCAACAATGATCCTAGTTCATGACTAATGAAGGGTGGAGAGAAAAACCTGACATACATAGCTTTGATTTGATATATGATTTGTGATGATTTCATAGGATCTACTTTTTAGGCACCCTGGTTCCCCTACTATTATATTTTACAGAAACAAATGGTTGGCTATTGTACATACTACTTGCCTTTTTGTTACCCTTCATATGAAAGATAATTACTTCAATCTTACCTTGCATTGTCTTGAAGCCACAAAGAAATACATCCTCACGTTCTTGATAATTTACGATCAAATGAAAGTCATAGCTTTATCCTAATATTATAGTGAATATATGGTTACTATTGCACTTTAAGTTACATCTGAAGCAAATCAAGCTGAGAAGGTAAGACACCATGTCCATATAATCAGATTAATATCAAAACATCTAAGTATTTACCTATTGAAGTATTTTGACTATTTAATGCATTATTTCCCATGGGGATGATCTTTTAGTAGCTATTTAACTCAATAAATACATGAACTATAAATGTTGATACATGAACTGTAAATGTTGATTGTATATGATTATCCTACACTTAGTGTGCTAATAAGAACATCCTTTGATGTTTTTCAGATCATTTTAATCTACTCGGTGATATTGATATATGCATTTGTTCCCTTTGCTCTCTGGTGAAGATATCAATATCACATGATAGATAAAAATGATATTCCTCAAAATCATAGGATATCCTATAATAATTTACCTTGAAAATTGCGAATTACTATCTCAAATCTAAATGAATAAAGATATATGAAATATAAAATTGTGTAGATATAACATAACATATCTTTCATTTTCAAATCATATCTTCTACTGACAATGACCTCTCAATAAAATACAATGTTATTTTGATATACAAGTACTGTTTACTGAAAAGTGCAAAAGACAAGATGACACAACAGATTATTTATTTTCAAGTGATTTCTTTAAAAAACAGAAACTTTGGCCAAGATTTTTATTTATGATTTCCTATCTATAGATTTATAAATAAAGGTCAACAACAATGCAGCTATAAAAATGCAACAATACTTGTTCATGTACTTTAATACAAATAAAATAAAGTTCCATAAATCATCAACTGTAAGGCTTAGTTCATGTGGATTTGGTATTAATAAGATTATACTGATCTCAAATGGAACTTCTATATGGGAGAAAGGATGTGAATTTTACAAAATCAGTTAATTCATAATTGATAAAATACAAGGAGAGGGTGATAAGCTACCAAGATCTAGGTCCTTATGATGTCACAATAGCCTACATAATACTCAAATAGCCTATATGACAAAAGATGATTTGCTTTCTTTGACTGGCATGAACAATTTAGAAAGACTGTACTACTACAACAACATTCATCTCAAGACCCATTTTAGTTGGGAGATGAACATTATAGTAATAATACTATTACCTAATTGGTCAATCTTAGTCAAAAGAAGATTAATAATGATTGCTGGGAGCAAATCCTCCTTGCTACATGATACCATAAAAATAATTCTGTTAATACTCTACACATTCTTTCTCTTATTTTAAGTCTGAATTGAAAGTAATAAATCACTTTATACTGAATGTCTTCTATGAATATTTCATGTAATACTTCATCTTTTTCCTTATTTTCTATAAATGTAGCTATAAGAAATTGAAGCTAGTAAAGTACTTAACCCTCTTAAATATTAAAACATCTGCCATTTTTTGTTGAGAATATGCAGAAGACTGTCATGAAAACAATACTCATAACCTCAGGAACAATGTACAAATGCAGAGTAGGCCAGAGTGGCCACGCTCCATTGATTATTGGTCAAATGTACGTAAATCTATCTGGACAATATACCATGTACCAGGCAATGTAAGTTGAATTGATTTTTAAAGCATGCACTTACAATACGTATGTACAATATTCAAAGCATTGTACATCAACAGCGTATAACTCAAAATAAATCAATAAAGAATTTTATCACAATTATAAAGTAAAACTGAACTGGAAATTTGCTGATTGCTTCTCCAGACACGTAGTTCAAGAACAGAATATTTCTTTCTAATTGGTAAACTTATGGAAAGAAAATTGATGCGTTTGTCACTCAAAGATTATGTTAATAGCTCAACTATAGGCTAAAATAACATTCTTAATATATGTTGTAAAAGATGTTATATACTGTTGTATTTGTAATATTTACTTACCCTAGCAGCCACAATGCTTAATCCCATGCTACCATTTACTTTAGCGAATGTCACCGTCATCACTTCTGGCTCTTTGGGTAATCCTTGGGGTGGGGCATCACCTCCGGGGCCTGGAGCAGGACGTGGCGATGTCCTCTGAACATTCTGTTGAAGAGAACGAAAATTCATCATAGTACGGGTTAATGTATAAAACATGTCGAAATAAAACTCAGAATTCTGTCTAGCGTGTGTAGGTAATTCCAGCGGCAACATTGGATATGTCATCCCCTGAATGTAAAAGTATCTTTGACTGATGTTCCTACATCATTAGTGCCTATAATCTGATTATCCTTAGATGAGTTGAGGATCTGTCGCTTTTGCTGTAACTGAAGGCAGCAGATATTATTACCACGCTTGAATAGTTCAATATCCTCTGCTATCTCAGTGACATTGATTTATTCAATATTCTATAGAATGAAGTTATTACATGTACTAGCGTATTTGTTAATACATATTAGTGCTATTGCAAATTGTTTGTGACATTTTCCTGTTATGATTCTATAATTTCCGATATGCTTGAATGGCATTAACCTTTATATCAATCTCTCCCGCAGGAGAATGTATTGATTCCCTCAGGAGACACCTCTCTGACAGTCTCTGTTGTTATGTCTCCCTTTTATATGGGTCTCATCTCCAACTATCTAGTACAATTACATACTGTATCTTTCTCTACTATCTTATACTACAAATTTATTGTCAATTATTCAAAATATAAGCAATATTTATTTATATAAAAGAGTATGCACTGAAAGCAAGTCTGAGGAGCTTCATGTACAACAAAGTGCCCGTTCTGTAACTGTTCCAATGTTAAAATTTCTAATAATTTTGCATGTTGTTTCAATTCATTTTGCATTTTACTAAAATCATACATATCAATAGTCATAGCCTCATATTTCCCTCTACACTGATTTATTTTACTTTACTTTCCTTATTCTAAAAGAACACACTGCAACCAAGGAGATGCATTATCATGCCTACTAATTAGGCTAATGGGAGTTTAACCTGCAGAAATGGAATCAGATTACCTTCAATTTACGAGATTGTAACATGCAATCGTGTTTTATAACTTTATACTTTTCACCATGTTCAGGTGTCACTTTTTTATCCTGAAGAATTAATTATTCATACTTGGTAAAGTCTAGCTGTAACACCTCAATGAAGTTGCTATACATTTGCTATATAACATAATGTGTTTTTATTTTAAAGATAAGGGGAGAACATATTTATCTGACACCCTGTATAATGTACAATAAGTGGGTGATACAAACATATGTGAACATTGTATTCCCAGAATGAGGCAACTAATATACTAAGTAGTTGAGATCAGAGATCAGCAATCGCATGCATAAGAGATATGATATAACAGTAATCTCTATGGAATTAGAGCAATTACATTTACACAAAATCAGATCGAAAATCACTCCATAATGAGTGTCATTTGATATAGTGGAGTATTTCTATACAAAAAATTAGAACCAATCTACTCTACATGTACGTGTATGAACATGTGTATAAAGAAACATTATCTCTGGCATGGCATAATTATCTCTGGCATGTCATATTCCATTATCAAAGCATTCACTAATGTACAGTAATGCTATTATACATTAGAGTTTTTCACAGCCTTTTTAGCTCAACTTTGTAAAAAAAATCTAACGCATTTGCCAGATATATGCGCAGCAGCTCAATAAAAACGAGATACATTTATGGATACATGTTTTAGCTATAACCCGTTGTGCAAAATCTCTCCATTGTTATTGCATTATCCGATATACCCCATGGGATCAATGTCCACCAAAAAATATAATAATTATTTCAACATTCACCCTCCCTCCTCAAATGAAACCTCAGTTTGAGTCTTGACTACTGGAAGAAAAAGTATGATGAATACAAAGCCTGACTTTGAAATTGATGATACCAAAATATAATTTATCTAATCAGCCAAACATACACAACGACATATTTTTGAATATCAATATTCGACCAATATTTGATAATCAAGGTTACTAAAAACCTGGAATTGTCAGGGGCTTTGTATGAGTGCTGAAAGGGATGAGAAAAAAATGTAATAGGAAATAGATACGTGGACTCAAGGCTATGAAAAAAGCAAGACTATCAGGAAATTAATATTTTTGCCTGGAATTATCAGGGACACACATTATGAAAAAACTGGTAACCCTATTGTTTCGATCTGATCCTTATATTTATCAGTACATATATTCTCACAATTAATTACAGAAATTGATATAAAAATATTTTTCTCCTGTATAACAATTAGAAAACAAGGCATTAACATGACAAAATGTCACCACCTAAAACAATTTGGTCAATTTAAAGCAAGTTGGAAAATACCTTTTGACCTTAAGAAGGTTTGATTTGAACTTCTTAGAACATGTAGATGATTTTGAAAAAAAAATTCGTCAATTTGAAGCAAGTTGAAAAAATACCTCTTTGAATTCTTTTAACATTGAGAAGGTCATTGAAGGTCAAATGTCAAATGTAAAGTCAGATTTGAACTTCTGAGAACATGTAGATGATTTTGAAAAAAAAATTTAGTCAATTTGAAGCAAGATGAAAAAATACCTTTTTGACCTTTTTTGACATTGAGAAGGTCATTGAAGGTCAAATGTCAAATCTAGAGTCAGATTTGAATTTCTGAGAACATGTAGATGATTTTGAAAAAAAAATTTAGTCAATTTGAAGCAAGTTGAAAAAAGACCTTTTTTGACTTTGAGAAGGTCATTGAAGGTCAAATGTCAAATCTTAAGTGAAATCTAAAGTCAGATTTGAACTTCTGAGAACACGTAGATGATTTTGAAAAATTTTTTTAGTCAATTTGAAGCAAGTTGAAAACAGACCGTTTTGACCTTTTTTGACCTTGAGAAGGTCATTGAAGGTCAAATGTCAAATCTAAAGTCAGATTTGAAGGTCAAATGTCAAATCTAAAGTCAAATCTAAAGTCAGATTTGAATTTCTGAGAACATGTAGATGATTTTGAAAAAAAATTTAGTCAATGTGAAGCAAGTTGAAAAAAGACCTTTTTGACCTTGAGAAGGTCATTGAAGGTCAAATGTCAAAACTAAAGTCAGATTTGAACTTCTGAGAACATGTAGATGATTTAGAAAAAAATTGAAGTCAGTCTAAACAGTATTTGTTAAGTTATAGGAAGTTGTAAGAAATTGTTACAGACGCCGGACGCCAACCTCCAACCGCCGGACGCCGGACGCCAACCTCCAACCGCCGTCGCAAAAAAACGGAGACCATAACAATATGTCACCACTTTTGGTGGTGACATAATGACAGGATAACAGGCAATCATACTGATATATATTTATAACTATGAAGATTTCTATCTTGATTGCCCTATCATTGAAAATAATTGCATGCTTGCAAGGAATAATAAAATCTCTTCTTGGCCATGTATTGATTTCAGTTTTGTTGTTAATCTGTGCTAAAGATACAATTTTCTGCATCAAGTAAGAGGGGAAATACCCCAGAATTCATATATGGAACTTATCTCCATATAAAGATGACACTCTAGTGGTTGTACTTTACAAAGAGATAGGTCATCTATGGATTCTGGGTAAGTTCCTCTTTCTGCCTCATCTGGAACTAAAAGTGCATTTAATGAAACAACATAGTCTCATATATAACCATCCTGAATAATCATAATAGGTGTTGTCATTCATTTTATTTGATTATCTCACAATATGTATGGAAAATTGTTAGTTGGCAGATGCTGACATCTTTTGGATAAAATCTTAATCAAAAGCATGTGAGCGGTCTACTATCAACTGCAAAGCTAATACTGTAATATATAAAAATTAATATGATAAAATGATGTTCATATTTCACAAAATTGTAAATTATATTTTTTTGCATGTGTGATGAATATGGAATAATAGTGACAAATCTAGTTCAGCAAACAGTGCAAATATCATTATTAATTAATAAATATATAATAATAGGCTATTATTTCACCACATTGGTGTACACTATCAAGTTACACCATGCATGTAAATACCACACATACGGCATTTCATAACAGTGAATACCACATTTCATAACAGTGAATATCACATTTCCTAACAGTGAATATGACTTTAATATAAAAGTGAACATCAAAGTTCACCATGGCACATAAGTGAACACCACGTTTCATAACAATGTATACCACTTCATAACAGAGAAAACCACTTTTCATAAAAGTGAACACCACATTTCAACATGACACAAACTTCTATGTTCTACACAATGAGCGTGAGGTTTTGATAGCAATTTCTAAATAAAAAAATTAAATCTAAGAAGTCTTTCTTTAGGGTGTATATGAAAATGTTCAAGAAAAGTGTGTCAAATGATTAAAATCTTTTTTTTCAATCTAAATGTGTCATACAGCAAACGTTTCTCTGGCATTAAAATTTGAAGTACTTATCAAATGTTTTAGAATATTAATTAGGCTCTAAAATGTATCATAAAATAAAAATGCCCTGGAATTCATGCCCAAATCGAAAATTTCTAAACATAGGCCTAATCTGAATATAATCTGAGAAACGTTCACTGTGTGTAGTATAGACTAGTAGCATTGCATGCATATTCAGAGCTGCATAGTTCAGTGTTATAGATCAGCCAAATCTACATCCAAGTGAGATAAAAGATGTCCTTACCACATATTGCTACATAAAAGAACAATTGATTACTAGAGGTCTATATACTATCCCCATGTACTTGAGACAATCCCACAATGAAACAGCAGACAGTGGATAATAAGGAGAAATTTAGATTTATTGTAAAAATAACCTAATCATCCTTTTAGTTATAATGCAACTTCCTCTGATATGCTATTTTTAGGATGATTTCTCTCCTTATAATTGTTTTGGATTTCTATAGTTTCTTCATCATAGGTTACATACAATAGGATTCCATATATAATAAAAAGCATATCAAGGTAAGGGACCTGTTCAAATGTCCCAAAATATCATTAATAATATAGATCGATCCCCATTCCCTTTAGAATGTTGTTTTACATATCAAAAGAGAATTATTTTCATACTTTGTTGCATTCTTGCATTCTGTACAGCCTTTTTCTTGGAGACGCTTAGTCAAAC